AGGATTCTAAGAATCAAATCAATAATTTGAAATATGAGGAAGCAAAAAAACACCCCAAAAGAAAAAAAAGAATCCAAAGACATGAAGATGGTGTAAGGAACCTCTGAGACAACATCAAGCATACCAACATTTCTGTTATGGGGATGCCAGAAGACGAGAGAGAGAAAAATATTGAAAACCTATTTGAAGAAATAATAGGTTTTCCCCTACCTGTTGAAATAGACTTACAAGTCCATAAAGCACAGACAGTTTCAAACAAAACAAACCCAAAGAGGACCACACCAAGACATATAATTAAAATGCCAAGGTCTAAAGACAAAGAGAGAATCTTAAAAGCAGTAAGAGAAAAGCAGTTAGTTACCTACAAAGGAATGCTCATACAACTATCAGCTGATTTCTCAACAGTAATTATGCATGTCAGAAGGCAGTGGCAAGAAATATACAAAGTGATAAATAGCAAGAACCTACAACCAAGATTACTCTACCCAGCAAAGCTATAATTTTGAATTGAAGGTCAGAGCTTCACAGAGAAGAAAAAGCTAAAGGAGTTCATCACCACCAAACCAGTATTAAATGAAATGCTGGATATTCTTTAAGAAGAGGAAGAAGGAGAAAAAGATAAAAATATGAACAACAAAATGGCAACAAATACATGCCTATCAACAATTGAATATAAAAATAAGCAAATAAGAAATCTAATGAACAGAATAAACAGGTGAATAAAATAGAATCAGAGGCATGGGGGGCGGGAAAACTAAAGAAATTCATCACCACCAAATCAGTATTAATGAAACTAGAGGCCCAGTGCAATAAATTCATAAATAGTGGGGGGAGTCCCTTAGCCCAGCCTGAACCATTTCCAATCTGGGACCCCTGGAGGGATGTACAACTCCCCTTTAAGGCTTGATCCCAGTGGGACATCCCTCTCACAATCCAGGATTGTTGGCTCCGAACTGCTCACATGCCTGCCTTTCTGATTGCCCTAACCACTTCTGCCTGCCAGCCTGATCACCTGTAACCTCTCCCCTGCCAACCTGATTGATGCCTAACTGCTCCCCTGCCATCCTGTTTGTCTCTTAACTGCCCTCCCCTGCATTCCTGGTCACCCCTAACTGCCCTCCCTTGCAAGCCTGGGTCCCTCCCAACTATTCTTCCCTGAAGGCCTTGTCACCCACAACTTCCTTCTTTTGCTGGCTTGGCCACCCATAACTGCCCTCCCCTGCAAGCCTGGTCCCTCCCAACTGTCCTCCCCTGCTGGCCATCTTGTGTCCACATGGGGACAGGATCTTTGACCACATGGGGGCAGCCATCTTGTATTTTTGAGTGATGTTCAATCTGCATATTAATCTTTTTTTAAAAAATATATATTTTATTGATTTTTTACAGAGAGGAAGGGAGAGGGATAGAGAGCTAGAAACGTCGATGAGAGAGAAACATCGACCAGTTGCCTCTTGCACACCCCCTACTGGGGATATGCCCGCAACCAAGGTACATGCCCTTTACCGGAATCGAACCTGGGACCTTTCAGTCCACAGACCGACGCTCTACCACTGAGCCAAACCGGTTTCGGCCATATTAATCTTTTATTAGATAGGATAGAGCCTGGTGCATGGGTGGGGGCCAGCTGGTTTACCCTGAAGGGTGTTCCTGATCAGGGTGGGATTCCCTTGTATCATGGGGTGGCCTGGGTGAGGGGCCTGTGGTGGTTTTCAGGCTGGCCACACCCCTGACAACCTGAGCACAGGCCCTGGTATCTGAAGTTTATTTATCTTCTACAATTGAAACTTTGTAGCCTGTAGCAGAGCCAAGCCTTCTGCTTGCTCTATGGTGGCAGCCATTTCTATTTGGATTTATGTATCTTCTATCATTGAAACTTTGTAATCTTGATTTCTTAGGCCAGGAAGAGCAGGCAGAAACCTTGACTTCCTCCATTGCTGAAGAAACTCAAGCCTCCCTCCTGCTCTCTGTGGCTGTAGCCATCTTGGTTGGGTTTATTTGCATATTTGCTCCTGATTGGCTGGTGGGTGTGGCTTGTGGGTGTAGCAGAGAAATGGTTAATGTGCATATTAGTATTTTATTAGATAGGATGATAAAGGGTATTCTTTAAGAAGGAGAAGAAGAAGAAAAAGATAAAAGTATAACTATAAAATGCCTATCAACAACTGAATCTAAAAATCAAAATAAACAAATAAATCTAATGAACAGAATAGACTGGTGAATAAAATAGAATCAGAGGCATGGAAACAGAATAGACCAATGATTCTAAGAGGGATGGGGGATGGGAAGAGATTAAACAGAGATGAAAGAGACCTTAGAGACTGAATATTTTTCTCTACAATACAGAAGATAATAGTTTCAAACTATGTAAGGAAGACTGACATTTATTGGGAATGTTAATAAAGAACAACTTAGGGCAGCCTTGACAGCAGCTATACTGCCCAAGGAAGTGGAGGGGAAAAAGTTGGATAAAAACACACAAATATCTGAGACCCTCACCTTCTTCAGTTGGATACTATGTAGGCTTTGAAAGGAAGGTCGATTTATGATGAGCTTCTCCACTGAAAAACCTTTTTAATCACCTTTATAGAGGATATAGAGGCCCCCAAATTGCCATTGTGGTTCCTAGGGTCTACATTAGGATGCAAAGGATAGTAATCATGAGATTTTTAACTAGACTCAGATTTGTAGGTTTATTTGTGCCACACTTTTGGGGTATCAAGCTCAATTAAAATTCCTAATAAGAATTGATCTAGCACACATTTTGGATCTTATTGACAAATTTTAGGCACAGAATATGAACTACTGTCAAGATATTAACCACTGACCAATAAATAGTGATGAAAAGATGATTATTGGGTAACTACACCTTGACAAACTGAGCAAAGCATTTTTCAAGATTTATGGGTCCAATTATCCATCACTGAGTTCTTCATCAAGGTACTCATGGATAGATCATAGTCATGGGGCGCTCAAAAGGCTGAGCCACTAGGTACATATCGTGATAGTTGCCATGACTAAAACAAGTGTTATCATTCAATTCCTTCTGGTGAATCTTGGCATTAGTCAGAGAGCCCAGTCAATATTTAGCCTAGCTCTGAACTTTAAAAAAACGAACAAGACATGGGGTAGGTGAGGTTCCAATGTCCCCAGTGGATATCTGAGGACCTCTGCTAAGGAATATAATCAACTGATAAATAGTATAAATGATAAATTTCATTTCTTGGGCCTTTTGAATGGTGGTGCAGAGGTCGCTGTAATCATGACAACCCTTTATACCAGGATGACAGGAAAATAAATAATCCTATCTGGTTTGAGGTCTAGGGGCAATACAAATAAGATCCTTAGCCAGACCAAACTATGGATGAGTCCCTCTAAGTGAACAAAAACCTCAATTGTATAGTCCCCCCAAATGAATGTATTATTGTATTGCCTAAGTGCAGCTCCACTTACATTCTTCCAAACTCTGATGAAAATTGCTGCAATTATGACCATTGTGAACCTACTTTATTACTAATACCTAGAACATATGTTACCAAAAAATATGATAAAGAAAGAAAAAATAACTGTCCTCTTTGCTAAATTTAATGCAGTCAAAATCTCCCTGAGACTATATTTCTACTTGATAACTCACTTGTCTTATATGCCTGGCCTTGAGTTCACAGATACTAAATTTATTTTGGCTGTTCTATTCACAAGACAGCCCTGACATTAATAGTACTTGACATTGTAGAAACAATTTTCCAAAGTGTAAAAACTTGTTATGCACCAAATAATATGGAAAATGTCATTTGTAGTATTCCTCTACATGGCAATAACTAGGATCAGATCATTCTTATGTGAAATAGGTACAATTTACCACTCACACCCCTCCACAAGGGTACTTAAGTATTTATAATCAATGAATAATATATCATAACTTTAAAAGGATCCCATGAGGGAGTACTAGCCTCTTTGTTAATAATCTTATTCTATGGAGTACAAATAAGAGAACTACCTAACAAGGGCTGGACAACAACTTGCTGTACCATTATTACTGACAAGGTACAAGTACCTATTACTTAAGTACTTGGGCATGATTTATAAGAGATATGGTATCTCATTCCATGAGTGAAGACCAGCTTTGGCTCTCTCTGGTCAGATAATTAAACGGAGGTGCAAAAAAATGAGGAAACCATTCACCTACTGGAATTCTTATGGTGTTATAAGAAAGGCCGCTTCCTTTCAATTGGGGCCACAACCAGCAGAATGACCCAAAGGCCCTCCAAAAAGCCACCCAGGCACTACTCCTCTTATCCCTTTGAGTTACAAATCTCAGCAGCCTCTCTATTCACCAATTTTGCTTTGAGTTACAAATCTCAGCAGCCTCTCTATTCACCAATTGGAGCTTAAGGAAAAATGAGTGACACAGGACAGTGGTATGCTATGCTTTTGAATCCATAATCTTCAGGAATAGCAAGCTAAAAGATGTACACCCTATAAGAGACAATTATTGGCCTATTATTGAGATTCAGTAGATTTCAAGTATATGACTCATGATTATAAAATAGTATCAAGACAAGAAATTCCAACAAAAAGTTATCAATACTTTTACTTGTATTCTCTAATTATCTTAGGGTAGACATACTTTTGGTCAAAGTGTAAAATTTAAATAAAATATATGCCCCACCCAGGCTGGTAAGGCTTATTCAGTTGGTTAGGCATCATCCCATGCACCAAAAGGTTGCCAGTTCCATTCCAAGTCAGGGCACATACCTGGATTGCAGGCTTTATCCCCAGTAGGGGCATGCAGGAGGAGACCAATCAATGTTTTATTCTCATATCTATGTCTCTTTCTCTCTCTTTCTCTCTTTCTCTAAAAGTGAATAATATATATATATATATATATATATATATATATATATATATATATTTTAAAATGCTCTAATACATATTTTATTTATCAACCAGATAAGATCTTCTGATTAGTATAATTTAAAGTTATCTATAATTATTATACTTACCAATGAGCCTTTCGCCTTGGGAAGTTTTGCGTTTCTTTACTTGTATTTCTCTTTCTGCCATCAATTCTTCATGCTCAAGCATAATATTTTCATCTGGTACATCTTCGTAAGATACATAAAGATAGGCATTTAGTGCACTGAACAGAAAAACAAACCTACTGTAAAATCCTTAGATAGCAAATTTATAACAAGTGTATAGCAGTATTTTTTTCATTTTTATAAGTACAGAATGTAAGTACCTGACATAAAATGGTGAAAAGAATTTTAATGTGTGTGTATTTTGAAGCAGTCTCCTTATTTCATAAACATTTCTTGCTATCAAATATATTTTATATTAGTCCCTACTTGTTTTGAATTATAGTTTAGATTAATATATACTCATATACCAAGTAATAAAAATGCATATGTCTAAGGTTATTCATTACACCATATTTTAATTGCAAAACTCAAAAGCATCTAAATGTACAAACACACAAAATATTTTGAATAACAAGATATGTACTATAAATTGTTGTAATACAAACTATGATGTATAACTTTAACAAAGAGTTATACATAAGACTCTGAAAGTAATAAAAAAATTTTTATATAACCCAATTTGGAGGGATTTCCAAGAGATAAGGTTAAGTGAGAGAAAAAAAAAAAAAAACAGAAATAGAAAATACAAAGTATGCTATATCTTGGGGGTGGGGGGAGAAAAATAAAAAATATAGATACTTAACTTTAAAAAAAGAAACATAGGAAAGAGAAACCAGAAAGCAAAGTAGTCACTAGAAAATTATGTAGATCCTACACAGGAAATTATACACAATGACTATTGTTAAATCTAAGCATATCCCTGGCATTACAATGTAGCATATTTTCTGACATTTAATGAAAAAGTATGAAATGACCTCACAATTGCTTTTTCCAGTGATCCAAAGATTCCATAGAGACTTGGATATTTGGCTCAATAATGAAAGAAGTGAACTTAATTAGAAACTTAATTGCTGTCATGGCACAATCCAGAGCTTAACGGAAAATTTTCCAAGCAAAAAAAAGCAGCTACTTTCAAGATACCAACTTTGCACTAGCCATCAGAGTGGTATAAAAACGGTGGATCACCTGGTGTTAAGACATCTAATGGATCCTATCACAAAACAATTATTGTCAAGGAGGAGATTGATAGGTTCTTCATCAGAAACTTGTGATCAGATATTGTTCAGCAGGCACAACACAGAGCCCCACTAGAGTCCACATGGTGATGAGTCTGAACTAACACACTTCTGGTGCCTAATGCCTTTGACTAGTAAAGTAACTATATAGAGGAGAAAAAATATATAGCTTCCTCATTACTGAGTTAATGAAGCAAAAGTTCTCCATAAGACTATTTCTCCATTCAATAACTCCATCTAGCCAGTAGATTAGACCTGAGGTGCATGGTAATTCAACTGACTGCTATATGCTCATGCAGTCATGCACCATGTGTGTTATCTCAAATGCTAACAGCCAAAGAGTCTTTTTCCCAAGTATATATGAAGCAATTGATATTATAGTTGTACCTTTTAGCATCCTTATTTACTTGAATGATCTGGATCAGTGCATAATATGTGCAACATGTTGCATATACCTTTAATATCTTTCCAAAAAAGCCACGATCTGAAACAAGTGCCACTGCCACATGGAACACTAACCTTTCACTATATTAATGATATCTCTCAATAGACCTAGACAAGCATTATCCAACAAAGAGAGAACACATGTGGACTCACATGTGGCAACAAGGCTGGGCTATTAATTCAGAAGAATACAAGGACCTGGTACCTAAATCTCTGTAAGAAAACTGGGCAGGGGCAATATGTCTCATTGCACTGGAGACAATTGCCAAGCTTGAGTTACTCTAAGTTCCAACAAATACAAAGACTCCCCAATAATTGGTGGCACTTTTTAGCTACGAGTAATTTGGCATTCAACATCTGGTCAATTTGAAGTCATTTATCCATCAGGATATCAAGAAGGTCTCTATCTTTATTTGGGCTGTCCTCCAAGAAGCCTCCCACTCTGTCCATCATTTGTTCCCTCTGATCCACATTTGTGTTTGGGTTACAGATCTTAGAAATTTCTCAGTAGGGTGAATGGAACTTATGGCAGAAGGACCTTGCCAGCGGCAGAGGTGTTCACTGAACTTTTGGTATCAAGAATCCTTGATTTAGACAAATGGTAAAATCCCTTAAAGAGACTATTATTTTCCAGTTATAAGGCCCTATTGAACACTGTGTGTAGGCCCATGGCCAGAAGAGAGTCTTATGACTAACAATAACAAGCAAATTATGAATATTCCGTCTTATATTCTCTAGCTTTCTTGGGATATTCACACTTTAAGTCAAAACGTAAAATTACTATAAAACATATGTTCAAATACAGACTCATAAACCAAAGAAAAAATCTTGTAATGAGTTTAATTTAAAATAACTTGGAGAGTAACATCAGCAACATGGAAGATGAAAAGATTTCTGTCCTTTATCCCATGAAAATACTGATTTATCAACCATCAATGGACAAAATATATTATGATAACTCCAAACTCCAAGTGCAAAATTCTAGTGCTCCAGTAGAGCCTAACATCCTAGAATATTAAAAAGGTTAAGGAGATATACTTTAATCATGACAGCCCTTCACCAAGCCAACATAATGTAGCACTGAAAAAGATAGTCACCCATAATTCCTCACTTGGACAAAGAGAGAGAGAAGTGAATATCAGGATTTCAAAGGCATTCAGGGTGCTTCCTGACAGGTCCATTTCTATCTCACCTCTAATAGAACACTGAAGAAATTGGCATGGCTGGATTGTCTGTAGGCAGTGAAAAAAATAAAGATCACAAATAAAAATTCTAACTTTATACCTCAAAGAACTGGAAATAGAAAAACAAGCTAAGGTTAAAGTTAGCAAAAGGAATAAAATAATAAAGGTTATGTATGAAATAAATGAAATAAAAAATGGAAGAACAACACTGCCAAACCAACATCCCTACTAACCTCAGACAGCACCTTTGGAGCTGTGCAGGGAGCTACTAACCAGCCATACCAGTTTGAACTACCACCATGCACCAGCATTGAGCCGGACAGTATCACAAGGTGGGACTGAGATGTCTGCAGTGACTACACTAAACAGACTTTCCAAGATGTGACTACTAGCCAGAGCCCAAACATAGTGTCCCAGGAACCCATGCTTCAGGTTCCTGAACTGTGTGCAAGCCATAGGTTCCCACTCCCTTCTTCATCCCTGATCCCAATATAGAACAATAGTCAAGTGCATGTTACACTCCCACACAGAAAGAGCCCTTTCTCAGTGAGCACCCCATGCCTGGCACAGACAGAGCATGCTCCACCACCAGCACAGACAGGCCCTTTGGCTGGTGTGCACCCCTCATCTGGCACAGAGAGAGCCCACTCTGCCACCAGCACAGACAGAGCTACAGCCCAGAGTGTGCTATGCCTCAGTGCAGAAAGAACATTCAATCTTTGCACAATATGCATCCAGCACAGACAGAGCTGCTATTTGGTGCATGCCCTACCCCCAGACAGGAGAGAGTTGTGGGTGTAACCTGGTGTGCTCAGTCACAGGTCACAAAACCACCCTTCAAACTTCACTGCCAGAGGGACCTAAGGCTGGGGACACACAGCAAATTGCATGCCAGAGGACTCACAAAGAGCATACCTTAGGAACTGTGCACCCACCTCCACCAACCCTGAGAAATGGACAACTGAAATACCAGAACCATAGGAGAAGGAGGTACAACCCAGACCAGAAACAATAAAGGTGTAAAACTCAAGAAAACCTAGCCCCTGGGGCTAGTGAGTCCAGGACTATTGGACTTCAAGGGACTTCTACCCCTTGGGTCCCAAGAAGGAAGCCCAGGACCAAAAAGAGACAACAAGAATGGGAAGACAAAGACACAACCCCAAAGAAAAGAAAAGGAGGAATTACTATAACAGAAACTAAATGAAATGGAGGCATGCATACGTCAGAAAAAGAATTTAGAGTAAGGGTCATGCAGTTCCTAAGCTGGATAGATGAAAAATCAACAATTTATGTAAGAATCAAGAGGAAATAAAAATTAAATAGCTACAATAAAAAGCACAATGAAAGGTTTCAACAGTAGATTAAAAGAAGTGGAGAACCAAATTAATGAGAGAGAAGATAGGACAGAAAACACAAAAAATATGAACAGCCACCGGTGAAAATAACTAGAAAGCAGGAGAGCCTAAAGGAGCTTTGGGACAAAGTTAAATGAATATATATATTTAGAAGCCTGATGCATGAAAAGTCATGAACTGGAGGGAGGGGTACCTCAGCCCAGCCTGACCCCTCTCACAGTCCAGAAGGCCTCATGAGCAGGAGGCAACCTGGTGATCAGGGGAAGGTGATGCTCCATCACACCTCTTCTGCTGCCACTGCCAGCATTGCAAGCCTCAGCCGGCCCTGGTTACCTGAACTTTAGGCAGCCCTGGAGAGCTGGGCAGTCACTATCCAAGGCTTGCCTGTGCCTCGGGCCAGCCCTGGGGAGCTGGGCTCCTGAGGCAACTGGGCATCTCTGGAAGCAGGTGTGCTGGCGGGGCTGAGGGGACTGGGTGCTGACATCTTGTGGCTGTGCGTGCCGCCATATTTGAGGGTGTGGCAATCAGTTAGCATATGCTCTCCTTATTGGCTGTGGGTGCCACCATCTTTAAGGGCAGGGCAGTCAATTAGCATATCCCCTCCTTATTGACTGTGGATGCTGCCATCTTTGTGATAATGTGAGGATCAAATAGCATATACCCTCTTTATTAGTTAGTATATATATGCTGAGAGAAGAACAAGAAGAGAAGCAAGGATTAGAAAAATTATTTGAAGGAATAATGTCAGAAAACTTCACTGATTTGGGGAAGAAAAAAGTCACACAAGCACAGGGAGTCCCAAACAAGATGAACCTCCAAAAAAAACACAACAAGACACCCTATAATTACAATGGCAAATCTTAATGAAAAAGAGAAAATCTTAAAGGCTTCAAGAGAGAGACAGAGAATTACCTACAAAGGATCTCCCAATTGATTATCAAATGATTTAATCAACAGAAGCATAT